AAATCCCTGTAGAACCGGAACCGCGTAAGCTAGCGCAATAAAAAAAATTTTGCATATGAAACCGGAGGAGTTGTACTTACATCTTATGCCATCAGCTTGTCCTAGGTCACGGTTTCCTTCCACATATAGCTTTGCAAAAATTGCATAAGGAACAAAAACATAATATTCCAGAAACATGCTTTGCCGATCCGATCAGCTGTTCGTAACACTTCTCACATTGAAACAGACGTCAGCGCGAACGATCGCATGTCCGCCATTTCCTGCCCGAAACCGGAAATGACATAATTTTCGCAGAAAATTTAGTTTTTTTTTTATTTGTAGGCCTTAAAAGCCTATACTGGTGTTTTTATAAGTCATGCTTGACTTTATGCTTTTCTGAATAGTTGCTGGGATGCTTAGAACTCAAATTGCACTGCTTTAAATAGTTTATTTTGATGCACATGCTGTTTTCTTTGCAAATTTACATCATAGGATTGTTTTTCATTTTTCCTGCAGTATATAAAAATTGGCGTATCTCAAAAATAAAACTATGAAGACACTCAAAATAAATTTCCTGTTGTTGTAAACTATTTTTTGCAATTTTTTTGTATTTTAAGTTTTGAGGGATAAACCTCTTAAATTTCTCCAAGTAGAAATATATGCAACAAAACCAAAGACGATTTTCATTTTTTTTTGTAGTTTATAGCACTGTTTTGCAATTAACGTAGTTACTATGGACTTAATGCATACATATTAAAATATGGGCTATAACAGTTGTATTGATGTATAGCAACTTGAAATGCTCCCAGAAATGGCACTACAGCATGTAAAAATATAAAGTAAGCTCTGGCGGACTTGGTTCTATGGTAGGTCATAAATGGTTAAGTCTTGTGCCCCACTCACTTATGATGCTAAATAAAGAAGGCAAATACACAAAATAAATCACCAACTCATAACCGAACTCAGTTTGGCCTAGGCAAGCTTAGCTTGGTTTAGCTCAGCTTAGCTTAGCTATAACTTAGCTTAGAAAAAATGTACAAACAGAAGATGTCCAGAGCGATAAAACATACAGGTTATCCTTCTTAAACAAGAAATATCCTGTCATTCACCAGTCTTATGGACGCACACTCTCAAAGAAAACCACATAAAGTGCCCCCAATCTTAACTTCTGATCCACACTGTCTCCGCGAAGACAATTTTCCATTCTAACAGAACATTACTCCCAAAATTGCTATGCCCTCTAGTGGCGAGGCAAAAAAACTGCATGACAGTCCTGCCTTCAGAAAAACACCATTCTGTCAGATGCTGGACCTCATCTCTGTAGGCGGTGTCATCATCGTTGCTAATGAGCCCCATCAGAGTGGTGTCGTCTGTGAATGTGATGATGATGTTACAGGGATGCATGACGGTTCAGTCACTGGTGTAGATGGTGTATAGGAGAGGACTCAGCACACATCCCTGTGGTGAGCCAGTGCTGAGTGACAGGGTGGATCATCTCTGGTTGCCAACCTTGACTGATTGCGAATGGTCTGTAGGGAAGTTTTTGATCCATGCATATGTAAAGGGGGGGAGGTTTTTACCTCAAAGTCCAAGTTTACCAGCTTGGTTATAAGAATGTCTGGGATGATGGTATTAAAAGCAGAGCTGAAATCCATGAAGAGCATCCTTACTGATGTCCCAGGATTCTCCAGGTGGAGGGCGGTGGAAATTGCATCCTCTGTGGACCTGTTTGCCTTATAGGCAAACTGGTAGGGGTCGAAGCTGGGTGGGAGGCAGTCCGTTATGTGCTTTAGGGCCAGCTTCTCGAAGCACTTTGCAACCACTGGAGTCAGTGTGATGGGTCATTAGTTGCTGAGGCTGCTGATGGTGGTGGACGTGGGGACTGGGACTATTGTTGCAGATTTCAGGCAGTGAGAGACAGTGGCATGTGACGGGGAGCGGTTGAATAGTCTGGTGAACACAGGAGCCAGCTGGTTAGCGCAGGCTTTGAGCACACTCCCAGGTATTCCATCGGGGCCAGCAGCTTTCCTCTGATTTACTGCTCTGAACACATAGCAAATCTGATGTTCTTGGAGCCTAATGTGTGGAGGCTGTGCTCAGTGGAGGCTGTGGGCAGGGCAATGTGCATGGTATCTGCAGTTCTCTCGAAACTGGCAAAGAAGTGGTTAAGTTCTTTTGCTAATGAGATGTCCATGTTATCTGTATTCGTCCCATTGCCTTTGTAGTGTAGTTGGTGATGTGTTTCAGGCCCTCCCATACCTTTCTGCAATTGTTATCAGAGAGGTGATCTGACAGTTTATTTGAATAGTCCAGTTTTGCTGCTCTGATGCCTTTTTTTAAGGTCTGCTCTTGCTCCGCTGTACATGTACAGATTTGTATGCAGAGTTATGTGCCTTTAACAAAGCCTGAACCTCATTTGACACAACAGTCGCGGATGAGTGGCTTTCTTTTTTGGAGGTGACACAGTCATATGTGTGCAGGGTGTAGAGGATGGGACTGAGGACGCAACCTTGTGGAACGCCAGTGTTTGTAATAATGCTGGCTGAAGTCCTGTTGCCGATCCTGATGGACTTGGGGCTGCCAGTCAAAAAGTCCTGCAGCCAGTCAAAGAGGGTGGTGTGCAGGCAGAGTGTTGCCAGCTTGTGAGTGAGTTTGTGAGGGATGACTGTATTGAAGGCGGAATTGTAATCTTTGTTTTCCAGATGGGAGAGGGAATAGTAAAGGGCAGCAGTGATGGTGTCTGACGTGGACCTATTGGGCCGGAAGGCATACTGCGGTAGGCATCCAGAGTGTCTGTGATGTTGCTCTGGATGTAGGCCAGCACCGACCACTCAAAGCAGTTTGTAATGACTGGAGTGAGTGCCACTGGTCTGTAGTCATTTAGGCAGGTGGCTGTGCTTTTCTTGGGGAGAGGGATGATGGTTGTGGTCTTGAAGCATGTGAGGACAGTGTTCTGGCTGGTAAGAACCTCCTCCAGCTCATTGGCACATGCTTTAAGGGCCCATCCCGGGATGTTGTCTGATCCTGCTGCATTGCGGGGATTGATCCTCCTCAGGGCTTTGTGTACCTGATCTATTGAGACTGCTGGCAGGGGTGGGGGTTGGGTGGTCTGGGGATTCTGGCAGGTCTGGGTGATTTTGGGGGTCTTGGAGGTCTAGAGGGTCTGGAAGGTCTCTAAGCAGGTGTAGAATGCATTGAGATCATCTGCCAGACCGCCTGCGGAGCTGATGGTGTTGGTGGTGGCCCTCTACTCTGTGATGTGCTGCAGGCCTTGCCACATCCGCCTGGGGTCAGCAGAAGAATAGAAGCACAGGTGCTGATGTACCCAGTCACATATTCAGTGTAGTCCTGTATGTTGACAGAGCAGTTCTTAATGGTGGCTGCAGTTTGAAACACATCCCAATCTGTTTGGGCAAAACAGTCCTGCAGGATGCTCTCAGTCTCTGGGCTCCACAGCTTAACAAGTTTGATGAAACTGTTTGATTGTTTCAGTTTCTGCCTGTAAACCGGGTACATGAAGAGAGAGATTTGATCAGACTGTCCAAAGTGGGGACGTGGTGCAACTCTATATGCACCGTGTGTGTTTATGTAAACATGATCCAGGGTGTTCTTGTCACGGGTAGGAATGGAATGTTGGTGATATTTGAGGAGCACAGTCTGTAAGTTGCATTTATTAAAGTCACCAAGCGATGATAAAAACAGCGTCTAAATGAGTTGTCTGATTTAGTTGACGCTGATGACGTCATGGAGTTTGCTGAGCGCTGCCGCGGAGTCAGCTCGCGGCTGGATGTAAACAATGGCCAAAAACACAGCTGAGAACACCCGCGGCAGATAGTAGTGGCGGCATTTCAGCATTAAAAACTCCACGTCTGGTGAGCAGTACTTGTGGACTGTCTATACGTCTCCAGACCACGAGTTATTAATCAACGCACACACACACACACCTCCAGCAATAGCCTTACCAGAGGCTGCAGTCCGGTCTCCTTGGTAAACAGAATGAGTCTGCAGCTGAACGGCGCACTCCCGGACTTTATCTGAAAAAGCTTTTAGCCTAGCACGGAGCCCCCTTCCTCTTGCCCCGCTTACGTCGCCATCTCCGAAGCGTTCTCCTGGGGTCGGCTGGCTCTCACTAGGGCTTCGTGTTTCGGGGATTCCTGGGAGTGGCGGTGGCTACCGGGCGAACAATGACTCCGGTGGAAGGCTGAAGTCCAGTGGGAGGGTAAAGTCCAGAGGATTGTATGAGTTACCGATGTTAAGTAGTGCCTGTCTCGGGTATGTTAACAGTGCACAGCACTTATCCAGTGCAAACAGAACAAAAAGTAAACAACAACAAACAAGTCGGCATCTGAGAGCGGAGCAAGCAAACATGTCTGCCTCGAGAGGCACCATGATAGACTGGATCACTGAAATCAATCTCTGTACTGCTGAAAAGCGTGAATTAGTTGAATGGCTTGGACAAGGAATGAAACGCTTAGATATTTCACAAAACTTTTTCTGAAAACATTTTCAGTTCTTTACAACCTATAAAATGTTTTGAAACTCTGTTGCGCATAATAATTTGGAAAAGTGTATTTTAAGTTTGTTATTTTTGAAGAACATACTGTTTTCATTGGGAGGTTTGTTCAGTAACATTTGAATTATACTCTAATGGCTGATGACTCGAAAATTATGCCGACTGTCATTTGCATTGACTATTTAAGGAAAACAGAGAAAAATGTAATTTGCATAATAATTTGGAAAGCGGTGTATAAAACTTTAAGAGGAAAATTGCTGCCAGTACACTGCTGTGAAAAAATGTGAGTGATTCATGATTCCTTAGTTTTTGTGCATTTGTCACTCTTGCAGTCTTGTTTAAGAAATTTTGATATAACACAAAGATAACCCAAGCTGTTTTACATTTTAAATGTTGGGTCTTCTTGAACCATTACTTTTCTGACTAACAAGAAAGCTAGTCTAAGTAAAACAGGGAGCTTTGGGGTGTTTGCAGTTCTAATGTTAAAACAAATGTTTTTTTATTCCAGCTGTTCCTGTTGTGCCTCAGGAGGAGAGGAGGATCGTTCTGATTGGCCAGCTTGGAGGAGGGAAAAGTTCAGCAGGAAACACCATCCTGGGATCAGAGAGGTTTAAAACAGGCTGTGATTTTGATTTGGTCAGTACTGAGACTGTGTCAGAGAGAGCAGAGGTGGAGCGTCGTCGGGTCACTGTGGTCGACACTCCAGGATTCACTGATGAAGCTCTGACTCCTGAACAGCTGTACCTGCAGATCATGAGGAGTTTAGTGGAGGCCAGTCCAGGTCCACATGCCTTTGTTGTTGTGGTTAGAATCAGTAAAATGTCTGCAGCCGACATCAAACTGTTTGAGTTACTTCCCACACTGTTTGGCTCTGATGCTTCTAAGTACATCATGGTGCTTTTTACTCATGGAGACAAGCTCCGAGGTCAGTCCATGGATGATCTGATCTGGTCCAACAGAGCTGTGTCTGAGTTTGTCTCCAGGTGTGGAGGCAGATTCTGTGTGTTTGACAACACAAAGAGAGGAAACAGACGGCAGGTCAGAGAGTTCCTGAGGAGGGTAGACGACATGGTTGAAGCTAACGGAGGAGGACACTGCACCTCTGACATGTTCAAACCAAATCTGACACAGAAAGAAAGAATACTGAACTTACTGAAGCCTATTCAGTTTCTGTTTGATGTGCTGATAGCTGGGTATGTGAGTGTAAAGGCAGGTGTAGGATGTGGGCTTTTAGGTGGATTAGTAGGTCTGCTGGCAGGTGTAAAGCGACATAAGGTTGTAGGTGGTTTAGTTATTGTACTGCTAGGTGGGGCAGTATATAAACTGACATCTGATAAGTAATCCTCTGAGCAGCAGGGACATCAAAGAAAGATGATTGATATCCATGTTTCAGACACAGTTGAAAAGCTTAATCTGCAGGAGTTCAAATAATAAAGGGAATACAGTCCCGATCAAAAGTTTAGAGAAGTTCAAGAAGAGAACGTTTATTTGCCTTTGCCACCAGAGCGTTATGACAGTGTGACTATCGGATAGAAAATTGCAATGAATCCACATTCTTGCACAGCTTTGGCCTTTTAAAGGCATGTGGTCCTAAACATTTGATCAGCTGTTTCAGTTTAAATGTTTTTAATAAACTTCATGCTCAAAAAAAATGTTTTGTCTCACTCCCATTTCTTCTTGTTGCATGTTGAAGCGCTACTTGAAACCTTGTTAAGATACAACCATGCAAAATATGATGTTTTGACATTTTTCAGGTGATCTTAAACTTTTGATTGGGACTGTATGAGCTGCCCTTCAGTTTCTTTGTACAAATTTAACAACCTTCAGCTGAGACCATCATATCATCTGGTTTATTGCATCCATTGTCTTTAAAGTCAGCCAATCACCAGCGCCTCTGCCAACACACCATAACGATTTCAGTGCAATATAAATGATTAGATTACTAAATGATCCTACAGCACAAGTTTAAAAAAAAAATACAGGTGTTGCTGAGATATCAATGATTAACCAAGTGTCTCAGGAGGTTTATTGTTTTTTTGCCTTATTTTGTGTTGTCACCCCTCATTACAGTTCTACAGATTCTCTGTATGCAAATACATATTAATCTAATAAAACTGATTCAGATTAATTATAAACTCATAAATTTACATATTCTGGCAGAATATGTGAATTTTTGGGGGGCCATTTTTCAGAGAACATGAATGGTAATGCAAAACCTTTTCTTTCTCTCTTGGTTATTAACTATATGCTTTAGTAAAAAGGAAGGTTTGAAGCCTAATCTTAAAAGTAGAGATAATGTCGGTTTCCTTAATCCAAACTGGAAGCTGGTTCCACAGAAGAGGGGCCCTGAAAACTGAAGGCTCTGTGTAGCTGTTGGCATGATGATATTGTTTATATAATTTGGATCATTTCTTTATCTTATCAAGGTCCATGTCATCATTGTAGTTTAAGCTGTACATTATTTATGTTATGTTATTTTATGTAATTCAAGTTATGGTGCTTTTATTTTGAAAGTGAAGCTGCTTCGTTTTGGGGGGAGGTGAGAAACATCTGTAAGCGCGCAGCAAGAATGAGCCCATAATGTTTTTTGTTGAAAGTCAGATTAAGTGGAGTGGACTTTAACTACACGCTTATAAGGAAACCTCAGAAAAATGGTGACTTATTCCCTTTTTGCAGCATGCAGCCAACAAGGTATTTATTCATTTGTTTTGTTTTGTTGTACAGTGTTATTTTAGGTGCTGTGTCTCATGTTGAGTTTTTATTTTGTTAATGCTGTTGAGTTTCAACGGTGGCTTTAGAGAGAAGTCTTCAAATAAACCAGTGACGGAAAACCACTTGCATCTGTCTGTGCTTTGAGGCAGTTATGCCTCCCATTCTACAGGGTGGGCCATTTATATGGATACACCATAATAAAATGGGAATAGTTGGTGATATTAAAGTCCTGTTTGTGGCACATTAGTATATGTGAGGGGGCAAACTCCTCAAGATGGGTGGTGACCATGGTGGCCATTTAGAAGTCGGCCATCTTGGATACAACTTTTGTTTTTTCAATAGGAAGAGGGCCATGTGACACATCAAACTTATTGGTAATGTCACAAGAAAAACAATGGTGTGCTTGGTTTAACGTTGGCCTCCCTTCTCTGACATGTGCCTGGATAATGGAATTTCTCACAAACCGGCCCCAGACTGTAAGACTCGGCCCTCATTTCTCCTCTACTCGCACACTCTACTGTATTCTGTCTACACCAATTTTCCCATTTCCCTGTATAAATCACCACTGTGCAGTACTTAATTTACATGCAATAATCCAAATTGCATACATATAACAATATTTATTTACATATATTTCTTTTTCTTGTTATTCTTATTTTCTTATACTCTTTTTTTTTTTTAACAGATTGTATATTTTACATATTTTTATACATTTTTTCTCTAAATACTGTTCATATGTATATTGTTCGAAGGCCTTAATCCCACTCACATGCCTTTTGTAGAGGAAACACAGTCTAGAGATGAGGGGGATGACTTGCCCATCATTGGTGGCTGAGTTTATTGAGGTAGATAAGTCCTTATGTCCCTAGGGTGGATGAGACTCCTGAAGGCTCTGGATGTTGTAGGGATGTCTGGTTGACATGTCTCTGTCTCTGGATCACACTGCCTCCCTGGTAGTTTTGCTGAATGAATATAATATGTATATAACAAATAGATGAAATTACTCAAAATACATTAATTAGTCAGAATATATCGATTGCATGTCTGATGGCACTCAGAAACACACGTATACAATGACAAATGTCCCATTTTATTTCATTTTAAGTAAAACAAACAGCTCAGTAAATCTTTGTGGAAAAATCCCCCTGCACACATTAAAGCACCTGTGTTGATAGTGACCAGGTAAACACGAGTTCCTGTTCAACCAGATTCCTTAGCACATGCTATGACCTGCTTACTGTGTAGGTGTGTATGTCCTTGTTGTTTTCCATGTTGGGCTGCTGTTTAAAGTTTTTTAAATGAGGATCTTCAAAATTCCCCTATAGATGCCAGGAAACTACAACCCCACCTGTTTGTTTCATTCTTGAACAAAGAGAAGGATCCAGGTTAAATGTTGCGAAACTGTGTTTTAGTGTAGTCACTAAGCAGATTAACAGAGAAACCTATGGATTTATATCATGTATAGCCCCTCACAGCTTTCCTGCTTTCTATTGCACACAAACACATAAAGGAAATGATGAATGCTGCCTTCAGTGAACTCCGTGTTTAATGCAGTTTCACCTTATTTTTATTTATATAGCACTAAAATCATAACAACAGTTGCCTCTGGATGCTTATGGTATCCTTAATGTAAAGACCCTACAGTAATGCCTGTCAGCTGATTTAGGTGCTACAAGTGGGTCTTTGTCTTTGTTGCTGTACTAATTGTCTTCGTGCATAGTGGTCAAGACCATGTTGAGAATTCTCATCATCATTAACAAAAACACATCACTTGGGATGCCAGAAGAAGAGAGGTGACTGCTGAACAGGCCCTTTTCAGGTTAAGTGGATTACTGTGAGGTAGGGCAGCCAACCAGAGAAGAGAGGTCAGAACCAACCCATCTACACACCCCTGTCTTTTAGTTTTACTAGTAAACAGCCTTGTTATCAAATTGTTTCAGTGAGTTCTTGCACATACACTGTGCACACAAATATAGTACACAGATTTAAGATCACATCTTATCTCTTAATTAACTTTTGTCTGTTCAACTGCATTGAAGCTCCTAAAATATATATGTATACATATATAAAAAATAAGTAAAATTCCCCACTCGCCCCTGTGGCCGGTCAATCCTTCAAGCTCGGGTCCTCTACCAGAGGCCTGGGAGCTTGAGGGTCCTGCGCAGTATCTTAGCTGTTCCTAGGACTGCGCTCTTCTGGACAGAGATCT